GCTCCAAAATCGAAGAGGCACCGCCCTCCGAATCTCGAGAGCCACTCTCCCAACATGATTACTTTCTCAAAAATCGAAGAGACACTGCTCCCCGAATCTCGAGAGCCAGACCCCCAGCATGATTGCTTTCTCAAAAATCGGTGAGGCACCGTTCTCCGAATCAATCGAAGAGGCGCTCGCTTTCTCAAAAGCTGGGCTGCTCAGAAACCACGAGGGCCGATCTCAGAAATCGAAGAGGCACCTACTTTTCTAGCCTTGTCAGCACCTGTCACACGCACGCACACTCAGCTTTGCAGAAATTATGGGCATTCTGTCGAAGACTTCTGGTGAAGTAGAAAGCACATGAATCTTACTGTTCAATCACCCACTTCGCACACGCAACAATAACTCATGGGTACCACAGATCACTTTGCCAAAGTTCTCTGCCAAAGTTGAGCACGTGAAGCTTGCAGCTCCCACTACATCGCTCTGACCAAGAAAGGTAAAAGAATAGCAAAGAAACAGCACTAATAAAGTTTAGACACATAAATTTTGAAGGTCTAGCTACCATATTATTACCCACAAGGGTAAAGGAACAGTACCACTGCTGGATAATTGGAAAGTCCCTGTGTGTCAACCTCTGTGCTTCGTGGCAAGGTAGACTAGCAAACATGCCCAACCTTTACTCACATTCGAGAAAACACTCCCAACAAGATTGCTTGCTCCAAAATCGAAGAGGCACCGTCTTCCGAATCTCGAGAGCCAGACTCCCAACATGACTACTTTCTCAAAATCGAAGAGAGGGTAAAGGAACAGTACCATTGCTGGATAATTGGAAAGTCCCTGTGTGTCAACCTTTGTGCTTCGTGGCAAGGTAGACTAGCAAACATGTCCAACCTTTACTCACATTCGAGACAACACTCCCAACAAGATTGCTTGCTCCAAAATCGAAGAGGCACCGCCCTCCGAATCTCGAGAGCCAGACTCCCAACATGATTACTTCCTCAAAAATCGAAGAGACACTGCTCTCCGAATCTCGAGAGTCAGACCCCCAACATGATTGCTTTCTCAAAAAATCGAAGAGGCATCGTTCTCCGAATCTCGAGAGCCAGATACCACAGACCACTTTTTCAAAGTGCTCTGACAAAGTTAAAACATGTGAAACTGGCAGCTCCCACTACCGTGCTATGACCAAGCAGGGTAAAGGAATAGCATTACTACTTGTTGTTAGGGAGACTCCTATATATGTCGACCTCCATCCCCAACGGACAGGCAGACCTGCAAAAATGCTCAACCCTTCATCATATCTGAGAGGGCACTCCCAACAAAGCCTTTCGAAATATTCAGCTTTCTTTCCCCCCGATAATACCTTTGCAAACAAGCTATACTAGAGCAAGAATATCTCATATCATCAGGGTTAAAAGCAAGAGTATCCCATATCATGCTTTTTCCCTGTTTTTTCTTTTGGCCTTGTTTTTACCTGCAAGACAAGGAGAAAGAGAGCAATCAGTCAGCACTTGGAATCAAGGTTCCAGCCAGGAACTGACTGCCTGGAACCCCTTACCTGATTACTTACCTGGCATTGCTCTCGAGTACTCATCTTCAACATCTTATGTTTCCAGGGAAGATTCCGCATCTGCTTGAGGAACAGATAGGGCAAGTGCGAAGGATACAAGGAAGCATGTGGAGACAAGCGTAACAGCACACGTGCCGATACATCCATTACTCTGTCAAAAGCAAAAGTATCCCATATCAGCAGGGTGGAACGTACTCTAGATTTGATGGACTTGTTTTGACCCTCAAATTCTTCAGTCGGCCTTATACTCTGGAGGAAAACCAGAAAACCCTCCAGCTCAGTTCAAGAATAAGCCTGTGGAAAGTTACTTCTTCAAAAGCAAAAGTATCTCATATCATCTCTTCTCATTTTTCTTCTCTTTATCCTTCATGCTGCTGCAAGATGGGGAGAAGGTGAACAATCAGTCGGAGCTCTGATTGCTTACCTTGTCTGTCACCTCTTTCAGCAGACCCCCTAGCTCGGCGACTTGGGGGACTCCTACTACATGGTTTGTATCGCGCTTGACCAAGCCTGAAACTACAAGTAAGCTTCAAGTGAAATTGATACATTACCTTGTGCATCTCCACCAGTTAAAGATACCACCCCTGGATGGAGGAAGAGTACTTCCAGAGAAGATGCCACATCTACCTATGAGACAGATAAGGCAAGTCAAGACGACACCACACTCCGATACTTAGAAGTTTCGTGATTACGAGATCATTCTCCCACAATATTTCCTAATGTCATTTGTACTAAATCATTCACTCGTACTCACTAAAGGAGAGCTTGAACCTATGTACTTGTGTAAACCCTTCACAATTAATGAGAACTCTTCTATTCCGTGGACGTAGCCAATCTGGGTGAACCACGTACATCTTGTGTTTGCTTTCCTATCTCTATCCATTTATATACTTATCCACACTAATGACCGGAGCAATCTAGCGAAGATCACAAAAAGCGACCGTTTTCGTTACCTAGGATCTATCTTGCAAGAGAACGGAGAATTAGATGGAGATCTCAACCATAGAATACGAGCTGGATGGAAAGAGTGCATCCGGCGTGTTGTGTGACCGTCGTAGGCCACTGAAGCTCAAGGGAAAATTTTATAGGACGGCAATAAGGCCAGCAATGTTGTATGGCAGAGAATGTTGGGTGGTGAAGCATCAACACGTACACAAAATGGGTGTAGCGGAGATGAGAATGCTTCGTGGGATGTGTGGGCACACGAGAAAGGATAAGATTGGGAATGAGGATATCCGAGGTAAAGTAGGAGTAGCCGAAATTGTAGGAAAGATGAGAGAAAATCGGCTCTGGTGATTTGGACATGTGCAAAGAAGGCCGACTGACGCTCCGGTTCGAAGATGTGACTACGGGACAGAGGTTCAGGGCCGAAGGGGTAGAGGAAGACCTAGGAAAACTTTGGAAGAGACTCTAAGAAAAGACTTAGAGTACTTGGATCTAACGGAGGACATGACACAAAACCGAGCGCAATGGCGTTCTAGGATTCATATAGCCGACCCCACTTAGTGGGAAAAGGCTTTGTTGTTGTTGTTGTTGTTGTAGTTGTTTTGAATTTTGGAGATATATTGCATCTAGAAACATTTCAACATTACAAGCAGCCATATAAGACATTCATCAAAATATTTGACAAATACTACTCGAATTTGCAAAAATATTGGGCCTGCTTCCACCACATATTCCAGGAATTTACTTTTAAGGTTAGAAAATCATTGATAATCTCAAGATGCCAGTCAATATATGGTTTCCACTACTTTTTCATTAATCTTGGCTTGCCCTGACATGTTAGCATAAGGTTTGAATTACCTTTTCTACTACCTTTGCAGTCGATGAACTCGTTTGCACAATTAAAAAATAGTTAGTCTTTTATTGGATTCCCCAAAACTGTAGACGAAATTGTTTGTAAGATCGTAGAGTTTTTCCTGTTATGATGAAAAAGCTCGTTTCAAGACTCAGAAATGATGGATTGCTCAATAAAATATCTCAAAAAATTTCTCCACTTCCCTTCCACTCTTGACTGATGTGTTCATAAGCTTCTACTACGGTTTTAGTTTCTACTAGTGATGGTGCCCTGCCCAATGTTGTATGTTAATACGATCATCGATCGACCGAGTGGAGATTATTTTCCGATACGTGATTTTAGGCTTTTCTTTTGGCTTCTTGGCTTCCAAGTTACAAAGCTTCAAATTTAGGTGGACAAATATTATTTGGTTTTTCTGTTAATTAATTGGTAATTAAAAGCATCGTTTTGCGGATCCGTAGAGAAGAACTGTATAACAATTTATATAACATGAGTACACTATTATGATATGCCGTACGAATATACATTTAGAGGGGTTTACACATGTATCATTGGCATAAGATATTACTTTAGCAATGTACTCATACAATGTAAGTCCAAAGTCAGAATAGCTAATTAAGAGGCAATTTGCTAATACTTTTGAATGACACAAACGACCTCTTGGGGTCAATTCGTGAAGAGCAGCTGTGGCCCTAGCCTGCTTTGATGTGTACAGAGCCCTTCTTCTCGCCGATGCGTATACGATCTTCATAGAAATCAGGCGTAGCCATATTGGTTTAGGACATCGTGTATCTTTTTGTACTCAAGTTTGAATCTCCTCTTTGTAAGCAATGGTGGATTTAGATTTGAACTTTGTAGGGTCCCAATGTTAAAGTAGAAGTTTTTTAGATAGAAACAAAGCACGAAGCGTGTAAAAATTGTTTTAGTTTATTCATTGAGGCATTTTGTTGTCAAACAAATTATGTTGCACACATGTCAACAAATATCGACATATGCCGAAGAAAGCCAATGAGTGATATTGAGAGGATTTGTAGTGTTGTCAACGCAACCTGTCAAGATAATGCCTAGCAGATATTACATCAAACACTTGGTAGACACAAAAGGAACACATACTAAACATTTGGAGAGTCCTCAAAAAATCTTCACATGTATATTTCTCGGACTTCGAGTGACTCTGGGACCACCTTAATCCCAATGTACATCCGTCTTGCTTGTAAGTATAATATCGCTCAAACATATGCCAAATATTTAAACCACCAATCAGAGACCTCAAAAAGATAATAGAAACACCTCCCACAATATATTTGCCATTTCAATAATGTAACAAATAATGACATGCTAAGATTCTTCTAAACCACATTTGCTCACACTACAATGATAACATATGGAGAAGAAAGTGTCATGAATTCACAAACTCTATGGTACTGGATAGGAAGACTTAAAATGCTTAACTGGTGTATATTTTTCTTTCCCTCCTTAATCTTCACGCATTACGAATTGGAAGTTGCAGTCAGTTCACCGGTGTTAAGTGCCGGTCTCAGAGTATGCAAAGAGTTTTGATCCTCGAGGGCGAGGCTTGGACACTCCCATATGTACAACGGATGAATGTGGCAAGATGTAAACATAAACTTAAGCCGATTGCACAGTTTATCTGCTCTGCCATATGATTGGAGCAACTACCATCCATACTGCAAACAAAACACAAAATTTTCCTTTCAGTCATGACGAGATTTTCGTTAGAGCGCATTCAATTTTGTTTAGCGTTATATACTCACAATACACGCAGACCGCGATCCACTCGTTCACAATCCTCACCCAAGTGCTGGCCCATCCCACATCAATCGTAAACCTGCAGAATGAAGTGACTTGTTGAGCAAGCAAGAAAGAACGGAGTTCAGTTTTAATTCACAAGCAAGAAAGAACGGAGTGCAGTTTACATTTATTCCTCGAATTAATGCAACACTAAAGTTCTCATGCTCCATGAACAATTCCAAATATCCACATATCACTATATTAATAATTCCGAAAGCATTTCCACAAATCCAATATGCTTGACTTGAAATAGAGATATTTGAAAGTAAGTATAATTTGCAACATATTATATAAACCACTCACCTCGATATTCCGAGCTTTGACAAGATAATCCTACTAACAATCTCCATACACCAAAACCCTAATTTTAACGGATGTTCCTGGATGCTTGCTAACCAAATGGAGCAGCAACTCCTTGTTTTTGGGGCTCTCGGAGCACCTGTGGAGCCACATCAAGGGCTACCTTGGGCTGTAGCCCAGATAGCTTTTGGTTGAAAATAAAATTTTACATGTATTTTTTTTTCGAATGTAGCCCATTATATATTTAGTTACTGATTCAAATTCTCTTGGTTTAATTATATAATACAATTTACAAACCATCTCTTTTTCTCATAGTTTTTTTCTCATCGCTTTTTGTATATGTACAAGTTTGAATTTGTTTGAATAACGAAAGTTCTTGGCTCACCTTGTGAAAATTTTCTTAAGCTAGCTGATAATGTAAAAATATATAGTATCAAGTTTCTTTGTTTATAAGGATTTAAATCTTTAAGCTAGTTCATCCGGTGAAAAATTTCTAGCTCAGCTGTTGTCTCGGAGCTCTCTGTGCGTGCAGAGGAAAGGAGGGAGTTTGAGGGAAGGAGAGAAGTAAAAGAAATGTAAATAGAGGTGGAGAGTAATAAGAATGGGAGATGGATAGTCTGCCCTCCCCATCTCATGCCCTTTCCATCCCCTCTCATTTATGTGGTCACGGTTAAGCCACGTTAACATTTTATATCTCATTGCTTTTTGTCTTATTATTTCTATAAAAAAATCAATATAAAATGTTGATGTGGTTTAAACTTGACCACATAAAATAGGAAGGGATGAGAAGGGCATCAGATGGGGAGGGCAGACAATTCATCTCCATAAGAATGAGCTGAGAGAACGAGAGGTGTAGGGAGAGGAATGAGAGTTAAAATAAAGGGTAAAAGATTGTTTACTACCCTCATGTTTCGTGGTTTTCAACATTTAGTATATCAATTTTTTTTTGTCTCAGAGTCATACCTAAAGTGTAAATTTTGGGACAGTCTCATACATTCGTGAGTCAAACTATTAAGTCTCCCGTTAACTGTGAAGTGGCGCTCATGTGGACAATGATTGGGCGCCATATGGTTCTTTTTTTTTAGAGAAGGGGTTTCAATGAAAAAAAAATTCAAAATTCAAAATTCGCGACCCCCCATCTCACCCAGAAAAAGTGAAAAAGTGAAAAGTGAAACAACTTTTCACTCCCCCAGAAAATCGCGACCCCCCATCTCCGTCTTAAACCCTACCTACGGGCCATCACTCGACCTCATCGTAGCTCCACCTCGCACGCTGTCACTCCACTTCGCACGCCGTCGTACATTGCGCACTCGTTTATAGGAAAGATTGTCGTGAAGCCATCGTTGGCGATGGGGTGGGAAAAAAGAAGGATCGAAGTGGGTGAAACACCACTTTATTGTAAGTAACCTACCTTTTTCGAAGTCTAGATAATATGGGTTTAAGCTTTCCGATTTTTCAAATTTTAAATTTTAGGGATTAGGGATCTGTGAGTTCCAATCCCTTTTTTTTCTATGGTTTCTGGAATTGTATTTTGTAGTGGGTTGCATGTGGTTTTGTCTTTAATTGTGGTCCCCATTGGCTTTGTTTTCACCTTTTTTTCTATGGTTTCAGGAAAAAAGGTGGAACTGTATTCATGGTCCCCATGGTTTTGTTTTCACTTTTTTTCCTCATAGTCCCCATGGTTTTGTTTTCACTTTTTTTCCTCATGGTCCTACTAGTGTTTTCACCTTTCTCCTTGACTTTGCAGGCATGCCCGAATTATTTAGCCTTAAAATTAACCACGGTGGGAAGTGGTCTGAAAGTGCATAAACGGGAAGGTTTGAGGCTTGGTTTGATTACTTAGACAAATACTTCATGTCTTTTTTTCGAGATTGATGAAATGGTTAAGGAGTTAGGATATGATGGGTTTATGTTGTATCACTATAGGATTCCTAGGATGTCTTATTGTGAGGGATTAAGGCTTATTGAACGGGATCAAGATGTGGGTGAAATGTGCAAGTATGTTCCAGGGGTTAGGGAAATAGAAATGTACCTAGAACATCCAAGTCTGAAGCAAGCTGCCTTGAAACATAAGCTTTTGATGAATCTAGATGAGAGTGCCATATTAAAAAAAAGTGTCATTATAGAAGATATTGAGGAATCGAGGGTGGCGATTTCGATTACAAAGGGAAGTGGATCAAAACTGAAGAAGGGTAGAGCAAAATGGGGTAAGGATGATTTCGAAAAATGGCTGTCTTTTGAATGACATAGCCTACAATGGTGATGATGAACATGAGGCTGAAGCAACTAAGGGAGGATAAGGAAGTGGAAATGAGGCTGAAGATGGTCCTCTCAATGCTGATGATGAAAGTGATGAAACTGAAGAAGGTCACAAAGCTGAAGAAGTTAATGAAGGGATCGAAGTAGAAGCTAATGAAGGTAAAATTATTGAAACATTTATTTTTACAATTTTCATTTCAGTATTCAATTATTTTCGCCAAGTTTAGGTTTTTAACAAATATGCATTGTTTGTGGCAGTAAATACAGAGGATGACATTACAGAGAGTGAGTTTGTGGACAGTGACTACATTTTGGAAGATGATAATTGTCGTGCAGTAGATGATACGGCTGTAGAAAATGTCGTTAGAGATGCTGAAAGGGGTGAAGGGGTTGGGAACCAACATCCAGAAGATGTTATTGATGCAAAGGATGTAGAAGACGTTCCCCTTGATGATGAGAAACAAGACTCAGATGGCCTGCACAGTGTTGACGATTCAGGTTCAGAATGTGATGAGAAGGTCATCTACCTTGAGTTTAATGAAAAAGCCAACATGGATGATCCAAAGTTTGAAAAGGGATTAAAGTTCAGAGATGCTGCACAGTTGAGAGAGGCAGTGTGGTCTCACTCCATTAAGCATGGTGCACCTTTTATTAAGCTAAAAAGGAATGAGAAATGGAGGATTAGTGCAAGGTGTGAGAAAAACTGTCCATGGAGATTGTATGCTTCCAGGATGTACAATGAAGATTCAATGCAAGTGAAAACCTATGTTGGGAAACATGAATGTTCGAGGATTTGGAGGGAAATCCTAACTGCAAAGTGGCATGGCTTGTGAAGTGGTATGTGGACAAGTTCAGACTCAACCCAAGCATGCCCATCACTACATTTATGGAGACAATGAAAGAGGAAATAATGGTTGAGATCCATATCAAGACAGCCTACAGAGTGAGAGCACAATGTTTGAAAATCCTTGAAGGGAGTAACTTAGATCAGTACACAAAGTTGTGGGAGTATTATGATGAGCTTAAGAGGACAAACCTGGGTAGTACAGTTCAGATATGATGCTCATGTGATATTTTAGAGGATTTATATTTGTTTGCGGGCTTGCAAAAATGGATTTAAGAATGGATGTAGGCAGCTTGTAGGGTTGGAGGGTTGTCACTTGAAGGGAGTGTTCAAGGGCCAGTTACTGTCTGCAGTGGGAATGGATGCAAATAACCAAACTTGGGTTATTACATATGCTATAGTAGAGCTTGAGAACAAGGACAATTAGGTTTGGTTTCTGGAACTACTAGCTACTGACTTGGGAATTGTGAACGAGCGTGCTTGGACTTTCATTTCTGACAAACAAAAGTGTTTAATACCAGCCTTTGAGAAGGTGCTGCCTAATTGTAATCATCAGTTCTGTGTTAGGCACTTATACACCAATTACAAGGCAGATGGGTTTAAAGGGAAATGATTAAATGATGCTTTGTGGAATGCTGCCAAGGCAACAATCATCGCTGATTTTAGGGAGAGTATGGCTGAGGTGAATAGGCTGAATGAAAAAGCTTATAAATGGTTAGAGAAAAAACCAGCCTTGCATTAGAGTAGGTCACACTTTGAGACACACACTCAGTGTGACATTCTCTTAAACAACCTCTGTGAGAGCTTCAATTATTTTATCCTAAGGTCTAGGGACAAGCCTATTATTACCATGCTGGAAACTATAAGAGTTTTATTGATGAAGAAGATATGGTTGAGAAGAAATGCAGTGAGGAAGGATAAATGAGCTATCTGCCAAAAAATCCAGAAGAAGTTTGAGGAGTACAAACTGAAAAGCTCACACACTATAGCTACATGGTATGGAGGAGAAAAATTTGAAGTGGATGAAGGCAGAGGCAATGTATTTATGGTGGATTTGAATAGGTGCACTTGCTCATGCAGAAGATGGTATTTGACAGGCTTTCCTTGCATACATGGTTGCTCGGCCATCTATTATGCAAGGAGACAGCTTGAGGAATTTGTTTCCTCTTGGTACAAGAAGGAGAAGTACTTTGAAGCTTACAAAAACTTGATTCAACTCGTCTAAGGCATGAAATTTTGGGAGCCATCTGAAAACAAATGCATTCTTCCTCCAACTTTTAAAAGGCAGACGGGGATAACAAAAAAGATGAGACATAGGGAGGGTGATGAAAATGAATTCAAGTTAAGCAAGAAAGGGCAAAAAAGTGTGAAATGTAGTGTTTGCAAGGCCTTGGGACACAACAAGGCCAGATGCCCTACCACTCATCCTCCTCCAGCTGCTAGAAAAGGAAGAACAAGCAAGAAAAATGAGGTATAATTTTGATATTTTTTGTTGATTTTTCATTTCTTAAGTGAATTTGTTATTTGTGAAGTGTAATATCTGTTAGTGTTAATGATATATGGGTTCATTACTTAGGCCTCAACATCTAAGGCATCATAACCCTCTCAGTCATCTCAGTCGTGCACTCAGGAAG